CATGCTGGCATGAGCTGACACCATAACCTTACAGTCTCTTGGAGGAGGGAGAGAGGCTGGGGAGGGCAGATAGGCTAGATGAAAGCTTTGTCTTCCTCGTTTTATCCAGGCCTGAGGACCATGAAGTCCCTGAAACTCTGATGCTTCCAACTGTCCATGTTGCTGGTGGCAGCCTCTCCTGGTCGGCAGCACTCAGACCAGACTTTGAAACTATCGCCATCTTTCTCTCATTGTTGGGCCATTTCGTATTTGCAAATCCTCCTCATTCCTGTCCAGTAAGCCTGCCCTCTCTCATGTTTCCCATCTAGCCAAGTTCTCAAGTTTTCAGACCAAGAAGGGCCAAGCATCAGAAGCTGTGCTGCCAGTGGGACCCAGCTCTGCTGCCTGGCTTGTATAAAATTCTTTTTTTTTTTTTTTCCTTTTTCTTTTTTCAAGATAAAGAAAAACTTTATCTGTGTAGCCTTGGCAGTCTGTTCTGGAAAGCTCTTTGTAGACCAGACTGGCCTCGAACTCCATCTGCCTCTGCCTCCTGTTTGCTGGGATTAAAGGTGTGCATCACCACAGCCTGGCCAGAAAATTCTTTAAATATTACATAAACAACCACCAAAAGATTTAAAAACACATTGAGACAAACACCGGTAGCTCCCACTCCCTAGCTGAAGCCAGCCGCTCTTCATGAGGTGGCTTTTAAACTTGACTAGCCTTTTCTAGGTGTGTGCCTGTGCTTACTTGGGCCACCAGGCCCCCATCACCTCTTCTGCCCTCTCTGCCCTGGCCTCCAGGGCTATTTTGAGTGTGTACCAGTTGGGGTTAATCTCCTTAATCGGTGAGCCGTGCTGCCTGCTGTGCTCCCAACTAACCCAGCTATCTGCAAAGGGCATTCTGAGGGTTGGTGCCATGGCCTCAGGCATTCCCATTCATGCAGGGAACAAGGGGTGTACAGTTGAGTCGAAGTGTGAAGGAAGGGGCTGGGGAGGCTGAGTGGCAGCAGGAGGCTCGGGGCCAGCAGTGAGTTGCTCTGAGTCTCAACCTCTAGGGAAAACCCAAGGGTCTGCTCTGCCCCCAGCTCAGCTGCCCTGGCCCCTGACCCCAGCTTCATGCAGGTGCTAATCTTGGGTCCCTGCCACCCTAGGGAGAAGGACAAGGGAGGTAGGCTGAGGGGTCCCCCTCCACCACTTGGGATCAGGTCCCTGAAACCCGAGACAAGGACCGCTTCACTCCACTCCTGGCTTACGCACTGGCTGAGGGCTCTGCCTTCCACCTGGTCTAATGGAGAACTCCCAGAGGACCAGGGAGGAGACTGGCTGCCAGACCCACCCCATTTACAGGCCTGCCTCCAGCCTTCCCTGAATCCCCTGCTAACTGAAAGTCATTTCATAAGCAGCTAGGAATCTTTGTGTGGAGGTCTCATGTAAGTATTTGCCTCCTGAATCATATATGCTGGTGAGGAAAACAGCCAGGAAAGCAGGGGAAAAATAAAAAAGGAAAAAAGAGGGGCAGGGGTAGGTGGCTCTACAATAGGGAAGATGCTTGCCATGCTCAAGGCCCTGGGTTTAATCTCCATCACCATGAAACAAAACATGGGAGTCAGCAAGAGGAAAACTGCTTGCCCTGCAAACCTGACAGCATGACTTACATCTTTTGGAACCTACAATGCAAGTAGAGAACTGACTCTTGAAAGCTGTCCTGTGACTTCCACATGCACACCACAAAACAAGAGCACTCCCCTCCCTGACATTTATGTCCTGAAGGATAGAACAATGCTACAATGCTTAATCAAGGTGCCTGGCTTCGCCTAAGAATCCAGGATGACTACCCGGAGGCAGGAACCTGGAAGAGGTATGGGAGGAATATTCATGAAACTACAATCCAAAGGATCCCTGGAATAGCCCAGCCTGGTGAGGAAGATGTTGTCCCAGTCTCCTCCATGGCCTAGAACCAAACACTCCAGCCACAGAATGAGCCTTAGAGTTTCCCTTTCAAGAAGAGTTGAATGGGCCTGCTTACTATTCTTAAATTCATTCTTTCTTTCTTCCTTCCTTTCTTTCTTTCTTTCTTTCTTTCTTTCTTTCTTTCTTTCTTTCTTTCTTTCTTTCTTTCTTTCATTTTTGTTTGTTTGGTTTTTGGAGTCAGGGTTTCTTTGTCCTGGACTCACTCTGTAGACCAGGGTGTCTTTGAACTCACCTGCCTCTGCCTCTCAGAGTGCTGGAATTACAGGCATGCACCACCACCATGCCCTGCCCACTCTTGATTTTTATTAAATTCTTTCTTAGTGTGGTAGGTTTCAAACTAGAGTAGAGAACAGTGTGGTAAACACCCGTGTGGACCCAACATCCACCTTCAACAGGTACAACTCCTGATCAGCATTGCTTCATCCACACTCCCATCCCTGTCATTTTAAAGCAAATCCACAATTCAATCATTTTTCCCAAGAATATTTCATCACTTTTGTCTAAAACACGAACACTCTTTTTAAAGACTGTTCATAACGCCATCATCCCATCTCCAGGAATTAGCTGAAGTTCCTTAACCCTGCCCGACAGCTGGCTTAATAGCTAATGGTACTCCTCAGAAAGTGGGGAGACCAGCCTCCAGCCAGACTGTCATGGCCACTGCCCCTCCAAAAGCATACAAGAATCTCTCTAGGCTCTCACACGAAGCTGCTGCAGGGCCCTAATGGATCTGAGCTGGCACAGCGCTTGTCCAGCATGCAGCACGACCCAGTGTCCAGCTGCACCAACTAGGTACGGCGGCACCTGTCTGTTACCCCGGCCCTTCTGAGGGAGAATCAGGAGGGTTGGGAGTTCAGAATCATCCTCACTAGCTGTTGTCCAGTTTGACGCATGCCTGAGCTGTGTGAGGATCTGTTTAAAAAATAAAGAAGCAAGGGTTGCCATTATCTCCCTTATTAAGTACTGTGATATCCGAGTGTGACAGGAAGAAGGAAGGGAGTACAAACTTCACAGTCAGGCAGGCCACTACTAGCTGTGTCGCTTTGAGGCAGGTGTTTAGCCTCTTTGAGACTTTTTTTTTTTTTTTTTAATGATGGGAATAAAAATATATCTCTCCTAAGACTGTTAAGTCTTCTGAAAGAGAAGGCTGGTGTGGCAGGCATGCAGAAGGTTCTCTGAAGCCCACCTTGCTTCCATAGATCCAGTTAATTGGTTGGCTCACTATCAAATCGGCTGGTTGACTATCTGCCCTGCAGGTCTTTATGAGAAGTGAAGGCCCAGGCGGCCAGGCCTGGAGCTAGTTCCTCAGCCTGGTTCTCACGCTCTGCCTGAGCACTCAGGCTTTGCTTGCTGATTAAAGGAACAAGTCTCTGGACTGAGGGGTGGGCAGAGTGGAACAAGGACAGGGGTTTGCTTTGGGCTAATTTCTGAGCTCCTTTACTAAAAAGAGTTAGCAATTCCACTGCTGCCACTTATTGACAGCTTGTGTGCCAGGTTCCGTGTCAAGGACTTTCCATCACCCTCTTGGGTGCCTCAACTGCCCCAGAGGCAGGTTCTATTCTTTTCAAGCTCTAGGTAACTTGGAAGTGACATAGTCTTCCAGACAGGGCAGTAAGAGTTGCTGGGACTCACATGCTAGGCCTTGACTTCACGCTCATTCTTTTCATAGAAATGCTAAGGAGGCTACATGTTAGGGTTCACTCGCATTTCCCAGCATTTACAGAGACATCTGCCCACTACATGCCCAGCTCCAGCTGGCCACTGTGCTAACATATGCCCCTTACCTGCATGAAGAGCCATGAGTAGACTGTAGCAGACTATCTCCAAAAAGCAAGAATGGTCCAAAGGTGGCCTCTCGACCAAGGATGCATACTCTCCTACTCTTCTACTGTCTAGTGCTTGACCTGGCCCATCTGGGGAGATAATCCCCTGCAAAGCCAGGGAACTGAGAAGAGGAGGCAGGGCACAGTATTTACTAAGCAGAAATGTTGGAGAATGAAAGTCCCAGGAGCACAGAGGCCCTTGGCCGTTCTTTGACCTAAGCATCTTGCTTTATAAATAAATAGGGGCTTTAGTTTTAGGGTTAGGAACATAGCTCAAAGGTAGCACCCTTACATGGCAAATGAGAAGCCCTAGGTTTGCTTCCCAGGGCTGAAAGCAGTTCTGTTTGACCTCAACCTCCAGAAGCCACAGAGACAAGGCAGTCATTGGGCCCAGAGCCCAGGGAATGGAAGAAGAGCAGAGCCAAAGTCTAGAGTGGATACTTAGGGCCGGGAGGGGGTGTCACAAAAGTGTCAAGACCTGGACTGAGTTTAATTTCTCTTTTTTCTGTCCTTGGTCACCAGCTCCTCAAAGAAGGACGTATCATTTCCCCCATACCTGTTTTTTATATTTATTCATTATTATCAAAGCTGTAAGAGAAATAACCCCCTGTCCACAGGGTGAGAATCCCCGGGCCCCTCAGCTTTCTTACACACTCCCCACTTCCTGGTCAAGTCTTCAACATGGGCCGGAGGTGGGAGTGGAATAGGGGGGATGGTTAGGTCCAGGGGATGGCAGGGACAGGGACAGTGTTCTCATTCTTCCACTTTGTCTCCCTACTTTCCTATCCCTGTTCTCAGGAGTCAGGCCATGTCCTCCATGGCATTCCTATCAGCTTGGCTTTCTCTTCCTGAGTAGTTAGAGACTTCACATCATTCTATTCTTCTTCTCTCCTCACTAGTACAGGATGGAGGTGAAAGAAGAAACATGCTGAGAGACCAGGGTGGCCTCAACTCAACAATGCATTCTTCAAGGGCACCTCTCAGCTCCCTTTTCCTATTGATTTTTCAGAGGCTGTGTCTGTGTCTCTCCAGGATATCCATCCAACTTCTGCTTACAAAGCAAATTAAGGGCAGAAGTTCAAACTGCTAGTTTAATGCATGGTAACCTATTCTGAAGCATCCAGTGCCCTGCCAGTAAGAGTTGTTCTAAAAAGAGCTCTAGTCATGGAGTTAGGGGCCCAGCCCTCCTTCCCCACCCTATTTTCCTCCAGGGTGTGTCACTCACATCCATAGACATCTCCCTCTGAATAAGTTTCTTGGTCTCCTTTTCACAGAAGTTGAGCATGGCTTCCCGGTTGAAAGTGCCTGAGGGCTGTTTGTCCGTTTGATTCCTCTGCCGAAGCCCCACGGGAATGCTCCCATCTGGGTCCACCACATCCAGCTCCTTCTCCAGCTCTTCCATCTCCTCAGGGGAGAGGGTGGACAGCAGGCTGTCGATGTCGGGATCCTCACTCACCTGCCGCCGATACTTAGCTACCTTGGACATCTTGGCTAAGTGAGCAGCTGCTCTTACCAAGTCTGTGGGTGTGCTGCTGGTAGGCAGGGGAGGGACAGGGAGCACTGGTCTGGATAGAGCTCAGTGGGCGTGGGTGGGAAGCCCCAGCTAGGTGAGGACTGCCACTCCGTGGGCCCGCTCTGTGTCACAGGTGCTCAGGGGACACAGCAGCCTCCCTGCAGCCCAAGGCTAGTGAACCTTGCTTGGTCTAACCAGCAACCAATAAAACCTGACAGCTGCCCAGCCAGAGAGGAGAAGCCAATCCCCAAGCCAGGGGGCGGGCCTGCCTCACTGTCAGAGCTGTTTGAAACTTGAGGACATTCCAGGGAATCTTGGAGCGCTGCGTGACCAAATTTAGTACAGAGCAGTTTAGCCTTTTAAAGACAAGGGGCCACGCAATGAGAAAAAGATAGAAAAATGCAAAGGCTGGCAGAAGCAGCCAGATCCACTGGAAGCCAGGAAAGCAGAGATCGGCTGTGAGGTTCATTAACTGGCCAGCCTGAAGTAAGCTCTGTTTAAGAATGGATTTTACTTTTCTATCCCTGGGTGGCCACAGCTACCTTTCTACTGTATTTGGTAATGTTTGGGAGGGGGGGGGGTTTCCTGGCATTTACAGTTCCAGAAAAGACACTAATTCAGGATGAGGGGCAGTTCTCAAAACTGACCCACCTACACCATTTTTTGCCAAAGAGAACCTGAAAGCTGAGCATCCGCTGCCCTGATGCCCTGTCACCACCACCACGTCTCAAGAGAATAGGAGAATGGGAAAGGGGGAGGAGGAGTGACATCCTCACTGTGCATACAAACTGAAAATGTGAAAGGTGGGAGAGGTGGAATCTGCAGAAAGAGGACACTCCTAGAGGAGTTTCTGAGTTCCCAGGGCTCTTGGGGAGAGGGTTCTAACCTTCCTAGGCTCCCTCCTCTGCAGGGACATCTGCAGGCAACCTTCTCTGGGCACACTAAGCAGGAGCCAGCAGGCACCGCCCACACATAAATCCAGAACACAGTTTAGCGTGTCTTAGGGGAAATGCAATTCTGGGCCACTGGGAGATACTGTTGCAACAGGTCTGGCTTGTTTCATAGAAGGGCTTTCCACTGCTCATCCATCATGCTGCCCTGTGCAAGTCTCAGAGACATTCAATCTCCTGCCCCCCTCCTTCCTGCCACAAAATCCCTTCTAGAAGCCCTGGTGTAACCCATCAGGGTAGATGCTTCGATCTTTCCTGGCATCTCTCCATCCTAAGCCAGAGAGAGGCAGTCACTTGATCAGCATTTGTTGAGTCCAAAGATCACCTGGGACTAAAACTTAGCCATGGCATTTAATGCCCGCTAGCACAACTTTAAGGCTGAAAGAGGGGCTGGTGCTGACTGGTGGGCCTGGAAGACAGCAATGAGGCAGGCAAACCCCAGAGGGAGAGTGGAAAGCGGGGCTGAGAAAACACTGGCAGTCGTATTTCAGTCACATGCCCATCAGTTAAAAGCACTAGTCGGGCTCTGCTGTGTGGGCGGGTGATGTAACTAAGATATCAACCGGTGTGAACCTGCCACTGTGGAGTCCATAGTCAGTTACAATAACTGCTGTGGTCTGACTATGCAACGTCCCTCACAGCCACATGTAGTCCATGCTTGGCTCCTAGCTAGTAACTCTAATTGGAATGTTCTAGAAACTTTAGAAAGTAAGGCCTACCTGGAGGAAGTGGATCATCAGGGGTAAGCTTTTATAAGTTCCATGTGGTTGCAGGTCCCTTGCCCTCTGTCCTCTTCCTGGCAGTCATAAAATGAGTAGCTCCTGCCGCATTCTCTCTCTGCCATCATGTTCTGTCTCACCACAGGCTCCAAAGCAAAGAAGCCAAGAACTGTGGAATGAAATCCCTGGAACTGTGAGCCAAGATAAATAGCCCCTCCCTTTAAGTTTTTATGTCAGGTACTCTGTCACATGATGTAAAAGCTGAATGACACAATTGTTATTAAACAAATGATTTAAAATAATATGTTAAATAATTCAGAGCTTGCAAAACACCTCAAAAGAAAAGTATAGAAGCTGGGTGTGGTGGTACACACCTTTAATCCTAGCACTTAGGCAGCAGAGGCAGGCCTCTGAGTTCAAGGCCAGCCTGGTCTACAGAGTGAGTGCCAGGAAAGAAACCCTGTATCAAAACAAACAAACAAAAACAGAGAGAGGGGGGAGGTATAGGGCTATTTGGGAATATAACAGACGAAGTACATAACAATACAGTTAAATAAGAACGCTCTTTAGGCCAAAAGACTTGCATTAGGTCCTGTTATTGTCACCTACTGACCATATGACACTGAGTAAATGACCTTATTAAGATGTGGCTTCTCCACCTGTAAAATAAGATCAACAGCAGCACAGCAGCACCTGCCCTGTAGTGACTCTCTCCATAGCTGTGACAGACACCAGACAGGGACAGTCGGTGGGAGGAAAGGTTTGTTTTTTGTTTTTTTTTTTTCTTTTTAAAAAATGATTGATTGATTGATTGATTGATTGATTGATTGATTGACTGACTGACTGACTTACTTACTTACTTATATAAAGTGTTCTGCCTGACGAGAAGAGGGCACCAGATCTCATTATAGATGGTTGTGAGCCACCATCTGGTTGCTGGGAATTGAACTCAGGACCTCTGGAGGAGCAGCCAGTACTCTTAACCTCTGAGCCATCTCTATGAAAGGTTTATTTTTACTCATAGTTCAGAGGGTCTTACTCCATCATGGCAGGGAAGGTATGGCAGGGTTGGCAGCAGTATGTGGCAATGTTTGGCGGGCTCTGTTCTGACCTTCACTCTCTGTGGTATGTGTGCGCCTCCATCATAATAAATAAATGCAATTTTGAAATTTTAAGATGTGTTTCACTTAATGGAATTTTTAAAAATTCTATTATAGCTGGCCATGGTGGCCCACGCCTTTAACCCCAATGCTCAGGAGGCAGAGGAAGGGCAGATCTCTGAGTTCAAGGGTAGCCTAGTCTACAGAACAAGTTCGAGGACAGCCAGGGCTACACAGAGAAACCATAAACAAACAAACAAACAAACAAACAAATAAATAAATTTCTATTTTAAACAAAGTAAGGTAAACATTAAGTTGTAAGCTACAAGAAAACACCTGAAGCATGATAAGCACATACTCATTAGCAGTCGTCACAGCTACTTACATTTACCTTCTTGTTAAAAAGATTTCTTTTTATTTTGTGTACATGAAGACCTTGCCAGAATTATGAATGCGCAGCGCAGTTGTGCCTGGTGCCTGATACTGCAGGTGCAGTTGTTGCAAGGTGCCTTCTGGGTGCTGGAACTGAACCTGGCTCCTCTGGAAGAGCAGTCAGTGCTTCACGCCATGGCTCCAGCCCCATATTTATACTCTTTTTATTTTTAATTTTTTTTAATGGTGTCACTATAACCTGGTGTGAAGCCAGGACTTTGCATCTGGCAGGTTAGCTTTCTAGAACCGAGATCTACTCCCAGACTGTTTTTAACAGTTTAGGGTGAAAGTGGGAATGTCTTTTTCTTGTTTGCTTGTTTGGGTCTTACTATGTTGCCTTGGCAGGCTTGGAACTCACTGTGTAAGCTGAGCTGGCCTCAAAGATCAGAGACCTGCCTGTTTCTGCCTCCCGAGTGCTACAATCAAAGGCATGCACCATCACATCTGACGACCATTACTTACTTACTTATTTACTTTGAAAGGGTCTCACTATGTAGCTCTGGCTAGCCTGTAACTATGCAGACCAGCTGGCCAGCTACAGATAGTTTGAATCTGAGGACTCTGGAAAGAGAATGTGCCAGATGCAAGAGAGTGAAGAGGAAAAAGAACAAGGCTGCTCCTGCTTCCCCCTTGTTGCTCCAGGTTGCTGATGTGAGACAAGAAGATAAAGATCTCCTGAAACAAGGATTAGACTGCCTCCAAAGAACCTGACCAGCAGGAAGCAGCTAAGAAAGAACTATGCCCCCTCTCCCACTAACCCTTTCTCTCTCCTACCTGGTGTGAGGGTGTTGGAAGGGATTTGGGTGGAGTAGGGAGAAGATATAAGAAATGTAAATAAAAGAGTTTTTAAAAAAAAAAAAAAACTAACACTAACAGTTACTTTGTTGGGTAATTATGTAAGGAGAGATACAAAGATAATTACATTATTCTTCTACTGAAAATCAGTCATTTAATAATGTTCTTATAACTCTACTATAAAGAAAAATAAAAAGAGGCAGAAGACACATTAAATTTGTGGGAAGGACTCACTAAGCACACTCCAGAGAATACAATAGTGGGCTAAAGTGTTGGAAGACTTGTTATTCCTTACTCCTACTAAGCTCATCTTCCCTCCCTACTTCTTCCCCCCTCCCTCCTTACTTTTTTTTTCTTTATTTATTATGTATACAATGTTCTGCCTGCATGTACACCTGTGCACCAGAAAAGGGCACCAGATCTCATTACAGATGGTTGTGAGCCACCATATGGGTTCTGGGAATTGAACTCAGGACGTCTGGAAGAGCAGCCAGTGTGCTTAAGCTCTGAGCCATCTCTCCAGCCCCCCCCCCCCAACTTTTCACTATGAAGCTTTGGCTGATCTACCTGTGTCCCAAGTGCTGGCATTAAAGATGTGTGCCACTATACCCAGATCTCCCACTAAGTCTCTTACTCTCCCTGACATCCCTCAGGTCAGTTTTCATTCTCAGTGTTACCTGGAAAAGTGTCTTCTGAAGCTGGGCATGGTGGCACATGCCTTTAATCCCAGCACTTGGGGAGGCAGAGACCTGCTGATCTCTGAGTTTAAGGCCAGCCTGATCTTGTCTTTTTTTTTTTTTTTTTTTCCCAGAGCTGAGGGCTGAACCCAGGGCCTTGCACTTGTAGGCAAGTGCTATACCACTGAGCTAAATCCCCAACCCCTCAGTCTGATCTATAGAGTGAGTTCCAGGACAGCCAGAGCTACACAGAGAAGCCCTGTTTAAAAACAAACAATCAAAACAACAACAACAAAGAGTATCTTCCGGGCCCCCAGACTCTGAAGTCCCCCAGGTAGATAAAATAGTTATGAAAAAGGACCTAACACCTACTCCTATATGGAAATCTATTCAGAAGCCAAATGACAACCAGAAGAGTGCCCAGTGAATATGGAATAAAAGCTTGACTAACAGGATGACAAGGAAGCGGAGAGAGCTCCAAGAAAAAGTTATCCCAACTGTTGAGTTGATGCTTTCTACTGCATCATGAGCTATGAAGCTAAGAGCAAACACACAGAGTTGCTGTAGGAAGCAAAAGGACGAAGTCAGAGCTCAGGGTGTTTCTGGGTCCTCAGGAGGTTAGAGAAAGTGTCTTTGCCCCACAAGAGTGCATGCCCCTAAGTATTGTTTGTGCCCAACAGGTCTGGAACACCTGTTGGGTGTTTGATTGTAGGGTTTGATTGTACATCAAACCCTTGCTCTCTGAGCTCCTCCTTCTATGTTCCATGTTGCCCCTCCCACATTCTCTATTCAGCTTGTACAACTAATTAAATTATTCTTGATGATAGCCACACACAACCTCTTGTGTATGCACACCCAAATTTGATACATGGTTGCTTGTTGCTTTAAAGACTTGTTTATTTACATACTACAGGACCATACAGAGAATCCTTAAAATAATACATTTATGCCAGCCCATGCTGCCACTGAGGACCATGTTCGGGTTTGTGGCTATGCAGCAGCAGGGGTCAGTGTTAATGTCTATGGTGCATATTACCACTAAAGACCATGGGAATATCCCTGGTGTGGGCAGCCACCTACGACCATGTGGATGTCCAGGGGCTGTGCAGAACTGGTCCCACCTCTCACTGGCTGTGGTGCTCTAGAGAGCTGCCCCCCAGCTCTCAGGACAGTAGGTCCTATGCTTTGCCTGGGCAGCACAATGGAGCTAGCCCTGGCGGGGCGGGGTTGATTGGGTGCTGGTGAGCCAACTATGGGTAAGAGCATGGGGGTGCTGGCCCTGCCACTCCTCTGCCTTGAAGTGGCACAGGCATGGAAGTGATGCCCTCTCATTTGCCCCTTGCCACATACAGCAGTCAAGAAAGCTGGCCCTTTGGTCACGAGGGCAGGAGAGCTGGCCCTGGCCATCATCAGCTGTAGCACTCAAGAGAACAGGTCTTGCACCTTGCCTGAGAAGCACAGTAGAGGTGGCCCTAGTGGCAGGGGAGCAGTAGAGCTCGCCCTGTTGCCACTTGTCTGCCATGAGGTAGGTGGCCTGGGCACAAGGTGACTCCTCTGCCCCCTTGCCCCTCACCACCTGAGGCAGTTGGGAGATCTGGCCCCGGTGTCATGAAAGCAGGTGAGCTGGCCTTACCCCTCACCAGCTGCAGCACCTGGGAGAGCAGGCCTTTTGCTTCCACTGGGCAGCACAGTGGAGCTGGCTCTGAAGGCGTGGGTGTAGATGAGCCAGCCGTGAGGGCATGAGAAGGGACTACCAGGGTGAGCCTCTCTGACATTGGTCTGGCTAGACCACACCATGCCAACACTGGCAGGAGCCGGGGTTGGCTCAGCTACCACCAAGGCCCAGATACAGGACTTTTGAGTTGGCCCACCCCAGAATCTACACTATCTGTGAGCTGTTGGAGCTTGTGAAAAGGCTGGTCCTGCTGACTCAAAGCTGCAGGATCTCCATGACATATGGAGCAACAGGATAATTGGGAGGAGTACCAGTGAGGAGCCAATATTGATGGTGTCACAGAAGCCAGAGATCTCAAACCAGACTAAAGACTCATCGCAAGTGAAGATGTGCAGACAGGGGTGCACTGTGGGACACACTGTGACAGACCATAGCTTCCAAGGCGAGATGCTTCTATGCTTTCTTTTGTTTTGTCTGTGTATGTGTTTTTTATTTTGCGGGGAGATTGCAAGGGCAGAAGGGGAATTCAAGGGGACAGGGAGATGAGTGGGACACTGGGTGCAAGTTGGGAGACCCACAAAGAATCAAAAAGCTTCTTAAAAATACATTTATGTGCGTATGTGTCTGTGTGAGGGTTTGCACAAGTCTGGGTAGAGGTGCATACACCTGCAGGCACGTGGAGGCCAGAAGAGGGTGTTGGGTCTTCTGAAGCTGAAGCTAAAGGCATTTGCAGAATGCCAGGCTCATTTCCTGGATGCTGGGATCCAAACTCCAGTCCTCAAAATTTCAAAGCATCCTGAGCCATCTCTCCAGTCCTGTTTGGTATTTTTAAGCTAAGTTCAAAGATTAAAGTTCCCCCCTCCAGTATCAGATTTCATTAAAAATTTTACATTTTCTGTGTGTACTTGAATACCATGGCAAGGTGGAGGTCACAGGACAGAGGAGCTGGTTCCTTCCTTCTACAGTTTGGGTTCTGAGGATTGAACTTACAGCACAGCTCCTACTGAGATGGCAGGATGTGCCACACCCAGCTTTAGATGACTACTTTAAAGACATTTATTGCTATTCTGCAGCTTATTTCCAAAGGTTTGGAAAAACACCACTTGTCATCATAGTCTACTATTACACTGACTTTACCATAAAATGAGTATCTATGTTAAAAAAATTAAAACCATGGGTATTTTGCCTGCATCACAAGTGGGCCTGTTGCCTGCAGAGGCCAGAAGAGGGTGTTAGAGACGATTGTGAGCTGTCATGTAGGTGCTGTGAACGGAACCCCAGTCCTCTAGAAGAACAGTCAGTGCTCTTGGCTGCTGTGCCATCTCTCTTGCCCCAAATATTTACAGTTAAAAAAAAAAAAGAAAGAAAGAAAAGAAAAAAGAAAGAAAGAAAGAAAGAAAGAAAGAAAGAAAGAAAGAAAGAAAGAAAAAGAGAATGGGGAGAACTCCCTTCACAAATGGCCCATAACTGGGTTTTCCTGATAGTAGCTAAACATAGGCTGATGGAACTTCATACTTTTAGTCTCTTTTTACCTTTTTTTTTTTTTTCCTTGCCAGGACAAGTTTCTCTGTGCAGCCCTTGGCTGTCCTGGAACTCACTCTGTAGATCAAACTGGCCTTGAACTCACAGAGAGTACAGGCCTGCCTCTGCCTCCCTGCTGGGATTAAAGGCGCCAGCATGGCCAGTTTAGACTCTTTTTCTTAATGAGGTCTCATGTACCCCTGAACTCTGTCACTCAGTACCCGGAATCCTGTCAACCTTCCATGACTGGCGGTGGAGCAGCTACTGCGTACGTCCGGGGCCTGCTCGGAGTCGCGATTGCTACTGGCTGCGACTGGAAACGATGACCCAATCCCCGTCCAGTAACACGCCTCCTCCTGGGATCACATCCGCCACGGGGATCATTTCCGCCCGGCGTGCCCGGCACTCTCGCGCGGGCTGAAGCCAAGATGGAGGAGTACGCGAGAGAGCCGTGGTGAGCTGCCGCCGCCGCCGCCCTTGTTCCTTGTTTTCTCCGCCCGCGGTGGTCGGAGTCCGAGGTGCAAGCGAGGTCCGCGCGGCTCGGCGCCGAGAGCTGGGCAGCAGTGGGTGGTGCGGATGAGAGGGACCAAGGTGGCTTTTAAGCGCTGTATGCCGGGACCCAGCACTCCTGTGACCTTGTGATGCATAGGGAGGAGCTCCAGTGCTGGGCTTGGTGGACCTTTGGAACCTCCTCCCTATGGCAGGTGCTGTCGACCTTGTGCGGGTACAATAGTGATCCCCTCAGCGGTGACCTTGAACACGTCCCTAGGCCTCACTTTGCTCAGTTGCTGCTTCGGAGAAGGGAATGTAGAGTGTCATACTTGAGACCTTATTGCTATGGTAATAAGTGCTCCCATGATGAAGCCTTTCAAATGAGTAGACCACAGATTTCACCCAAAGTTCAAAGGGTCTGGATGAAGAGTCTTGAAAGCTAGAGCAGCTTTTCCAGGGTAGAATTCCCGGAAAAAAAGCATGTGGAAAATAGGAAGAGATTAGCTGCGTGGTTCAGAAAAGCTGCATGCTTTGCTCAAGGACTAAACATGAGTAAATCTGGCATAGCAAGATAGCTGTAAATTCGTGTGATAGCTGTTCAATCTCAAGTTGTGTAATATCTATTGGATCTCAGGTGTTTTGAATAAAGCCTCAGGGTTCACAAGCACATAATTAAATCTTGATAGTTAGGTTAATCTGGTTTTGCTTTTATTTATAACGAGAAAGTTTTACTTATAACGAGAAAGAGTTAGGGTATCCTCAAATTTTGTGCCTTCCCAGGACTTTATTATCTGGTGGCAGTCTCTGTGCCTGCTTTGTGCTTCATCCTTCAGAGAAGGTTGTCTCCAAGTATTGAGTTTGGATAGCCAGGTTTAGCTGGACTGTCCATTGGTGTTGGCAGGAGGGGTAATTTGGTTGCATTGAAGATTTTATAAAAGTAGTGAGTTTTCTCCAGGTCTGGTGGTACAGGCCTGTAATGCAAGTCTCAGGAAGCAGAGGCAGGAAAACCAGCGTGGGCTGCAGAGCAAGTTCTAGGCCAGCCAGGGTTAGACCTGTGTCAAACATATTTTAGCAGAGTGCAATACACAGCCCTGTAATCTCAGCACTTGGGCAAGAGGATGCCAGCCTAGGATACATAACAAGACCATATTTCAATATTTAGTGAAGTCACTGGATATTGCTTTTTCTTAGTAAATGTGTTTTGAAGCCAGCACTGTCTAAAAAAGTAGATGGTTTAATCATTGTCTTAATACTTTTACCATTTGTTCGCTCAGAATTCTTTAGACTATATAAATAGTCTAAAGTCTAAATAGTAAGAAAAAATTTGAGGACTTTGGAGTACCAAAATGTATGCTAAGCGGGCTCTTACTAGTTACTAATTTGATTTGGGGCAGGCTGCTTAATTTCTGTCTGAGCCTTTGTTTATTTGTAAAATGCAAAGGAGAGAATCATAATTTTTTTTGTCAAGTTAAAAGACTGAATTCTAAAGGAAAATTAGTCACTATTCAGATTTTTGTGAGCAATAATGGTTAAGTTTAAAAGCATACCTGTTTTTACAGTGTGTGTCCATGAGCTGGCTCACTATAGTGCTTGTCTTTTTGTGGGGAGGAACCTGGGTTGGGGCTTAAGACAGGGTTTTGCGTTGTATCGTAGGCTGGCCTCTGACTCCTCCTGCTTCTTCCTCCCAAGTTCTGGGATTACCAGTGTGTGCCACCACTTCCAATTTTGTGTTTAGCTCTTGGGATTGTCTGACATGCTGAGAAGTTTCTTTCACTTCTAATAAATACACTACTTAACAGACCTTTTTTCTTCTTCTAACTTTAGACTTTGTTATGAAATTGTCTATAAACCTGAGTAAGGTTCTCTGTGCTTGACCAAATAGCATATGAACACAATAGAAACAACAGTTTTGGTTCTTTTTTTTTTTCTTTTTGAGATAGGGTTTCTCTGTGTAGTCTTGGCTGTCCTGGACTCAATTTGTAGACTCGGCTGGCCTCTGCTTCATTGAGTGTTGGCATTAAAGGCATACGCCACCATGCCTGGCTAAAACAGCAGTCTTGTTTGTTTCACAGAATTCATTTAGATTTGAAAAATGGTGAATGGTGCACGCCAGCAGTGAGCTACCAACTTTTTATTTGGAAGGAGATGGCAGTAGAATTATAACTTTATTGAGAGTTGGCTGAAACAGAATTTACCCTGTTCTCTCTCTTTCTCTCCTTTCTTTCCTTCCTCCCTCCCTCTGTATGTGTGATATATACAGAAAAGAAACATAAACCTTTACACTAATAAATTGACTTAACAAGGCTGGAGATGTTGTATGTGTCAGGCCCTGGATTCTACACAGACTGATTAGCCAGATTCCTAGAGTGATGGTTTTGCTCTCCTGACTAAATTACTCAGATTTCAGTGTTGTATGAATTAGGGTGCTGTGTTTGGATGCTGGGTTTACAACTTAATTTCTAATTATTAGATATTATTCTAGTGTGTTAAACAGAGCTTATGCAAACTAAAGCTTAAAATACTGTTTTGAACTTAGTTCTCCTGAGAAGACTTCAGAGTTTTAAGAACATGTATGCAGCTAGTGAATCTTCATTAGAATGATCATACCCTGATTTCTAGAAACAACCATTATTGTTAATTACAATATGAACTATTTTATTTGCTTTTTATAGCGCCCAGCTTGGAACAGACTTATGATAAGTTATTGTGAGTGAATAAAATGCTGGGTATGATGGGATGGACCTGTAGTACCAATGCTCAGGAGGATGAAGTACCAACATGAGGGCAGGCAGTTTAGCAAGATACCACCACACTAACATTCTTTTAAAAAGGAATGTGACTGGTAAATCCATCTAGCTTTAGGGACTTGAGGCTGAATAGCTGTGGATGAGTTTAGTGTCCTTGCTCCTATTTTATAAGTTAAAAAAGTTTATTGGTTGCAGCAGGACCTGTTGTATCCTTTTAGATAGTAAGTAAAAAAAAAGTTTTATGGTTTATGACAGAGAAATAAGGTCATCTTTTCCTCCCTCCTGTTTTTAGCCCCTGGCGAATTGTGGATGACTGTGGCGGTGCCTTTACCATGGGTACCATAGGTGGCGGTATCTTTCAAGCCTTCAAAGGTTTTCGAAATTCTCCAGTGGTGAGTGAGTCTTATTTTATCTTCAGTGGAAGCCAGGACTGGTTGAAATTATTGTTGGTCCCAGCAGTGGGTTAGAAATGTATTGCACTTACAGTAACATATTGGTTACTGTGTATGAGTGTATCGATGTGGGTGTCTTGCCTGCATGTGAGTCTATGCACTGCTTGCTGCCTGTTGCTCCTGGAACTGCGGTTACAGATGGTTGTGAGCTGCCATGTGGGTGCTGGGAAATGAATCTGGATCCTCTAAAAGAGCAGTAAGTGCTCTTAACCTCAGAGCCATCTCTCCAGCCCTATTTTGTTTTCTGAACATGAATGCTTTCTCTGTGTTTATGTCTGTGCACCATGTACATAGAGACCAAAAGAAGGCATTGGCTTTTGAGGAAGTGGAGCTACAGACTGTTGTGAGTTACCAGGTAGATGCTGGGAATCTAATCTGGGTCCTCTGGAAGAGCAGCCGGTGCTCTCAACAACTGAGCCATTTCCGCAGCCCCTAATCTATCACATTTCAGACCACTTCGCTTTGTTTTTGTTACAGGGAGTAAACCACAGACTCCGAGGGAGTTTGACAGCTATTAAAACCAGGGCTCCACAGTTGGGAGGTAAGAGGAATGTTTCCACATATACAGACTTGCTGCTTACCTGAACATTGAGTTTTGCCTGTCAGTCTGCCTGTCCCTCCTTCCTTCCCTTCATTCTTCCCCAGATTGGACTGAAACTCAACATCTTTCTGCCCCACCTTCCTGAGTGCTAAGATTACAAGAGTTCAGCCAGCAAATTATTTTTTTTTCCTTTTTATATTAATGATATTCATTTGTTCTGTTCAACTAGTATGCCTGCAAGTTCTTTTTGATTGGCTTTGTTTGGAAAGTTAAATTGGATTATGTTTTTTTAAAAACCTTGTTTCTTTTGTTCAGGTATCCAGTGTTTGCTTTGTTCTAAGGTGCCTTAGTCAAGGTTTCTACCGCCATAACAAAACACCATGGCCAAAAAGCAAGTTGGGAAGGTTCCTCCCCACCCCCCATACTTCCATGTTACTGTTCATTACCGAAGGAAGTCAGAACAGGATCTCAAACAGGCCAGGAACCTGGAGGCAGGAGCTGATGCAGAAGCCATGGAGGGGTGCTGCTTACTGGCTTGCTCCCATGACTTGCTCAGCCTGCTTTCCTTTTTGTTTGTTTGGTTTTGTCTTGTCTCCCTCAACAGGGTTTCTCTGTGTAACCCTGGCTGGGTCCTGGAACTCACTTTGTAGACCAGGCTAGTCTTGAACTCAGAGATCCACCTGCACTGCCTCCCAAGTGCTGAGATTAAAGGCATGGACCACCGTGCCCTGCTAGGTTTTTTTGTTTTGTTTTTTCTTCTTTTGTTTGGTGGGGAGTTGTTTGAGACAGGGTGTTACTATGTAGCCCTGCTTAGTCTGGAACTCAATATAGACCAGGATGGTTTTGAACTCACAGAGATTCACCTGCCTCTGCCTCTGTGAATACTGGGAGTAAAGATGTGGGTCACAACACCTTCAGCCTGTTTCTTGTGTTTGTTTGCTTGGTTTTGATTTTGGTTTGTGTTTTTCAAGACAGGGTTTCCCTGTGTAGCTTTGGCTGCCCTGGAACTCAATCTGTAGACCAGGTTGCCATGCAGCCTGCTTTTTAACAGAACCCAAGAGCACCAAGACCAGTAATGGCCTCATCCACAATGGGCTGGGCCCTTTCCCATCAGTCACTAATTAAGAAAATGATTTACAGCTGGGTCTTAGGGAGCCATTTTCTCCATTGAGGTTCCCTCATTTCAGATGACTGCAGTGTGTGTCAAGCTGACATAAGACCAGCCAGCCCCCATTTTCCAGAAGAAAGGCTATGTTCAAAGTTCAGATTTGGAGAGGCAGACATGGTGGCATAATGCTGAAGAGAATGGAATGTAAGGGACCAGAGAGACTGATTAAGCTGGTTGGGTTCTTCCAGGCTGACATTAAGACATTGTACAGAAACCAGTGCAGAATGTCGGACGATTATAAACATGGAGCACTTAGGAACCTTGGTTTTCAACCTACCTTGTGCTGGGACCCTTGAATACAGTTCCTCCTGTTATGGTGACTTCCAGGCATAAAATTATTTTTGTTGCTACCACATAACTATAATTTTGCAACTGTTATGAATTATAAATATCTGATATTTCCAATGGCCTTAGGTGACCCCTGTGAAAGGGTCATCATTACCTACCCAAAGGGGTCACAACTCACATATAGGTTGAGAACCACTGTTTTAGAGGGTAAAGATAAAAGTAACTTGGCCTCCTGTGTCTGACGCTCTGGCTCCACCTAGGTTTTCATGTGTCTCTTTGGCATGTGCTGTGATGTGTCCAGAAGAGCTGGATTAGTGATTATCAGAGTAGTGATTGCCAGAGTAGATGCTCTGTGGCATTTAATGAGGAAAGGAAAAATAAAATTAGGAAAGGAAAGAAATAGTAGCTTTTGGTTTGAAATATTGTTTAAACAAAAGTGTGTTATTCTAAAAGTGATTTACATATTTTTAGACATTTGTAGCTTCTTTTAGGCTTATGTATGTATTCATTTTAGTTTGTTTTATGGTGCAGGTGGTTAAATACAGGCCTTGGTACATGCTAGACAAGAACTCTACCACTAAGCTAAATCCAGCCCCGCGGTCTCCCCTTCCCCCCTTTGCCACTCCCCTTTCAGAAAAGTTGGAGATCTTATTAACATTTTTTTAAATTTGTTTTTATTTGTGTTGTATGAATTTCTGTGTCTGCCCCGTGTGTGTAGGTCCCATGGAAGCCAGAAGATGGTATCACCTTGGAGCTTGGGTACAGGTGGTTGTGAGCTAACTGAAATGGGTGATGGGAACTGAACTCAAGTCTTCTGCAAGAGCAGCAAGCACTTTTCACCACTGTGAACCTTTCTCCCACCCCAGATACTTTAATGTAAGCTTGAAGCACAGTGGTTAGAGAGAGGTGCTTAGTGGAGAGAGATGTGCAAAGCACACCAGTAGTATGGGTGTGGATTCCCTAGGAGGCGGCTGCGTTCCTTTCTCTGAGATAGGCTCATTAGATAATGATAACCTGGGCTGACTTCAAAGCAAACTTACTTGACTATAATATTTTAATATAAAGCAAAAAAGAAATTTAGGTAGTTTTCTATTTGTCTTTATTGTATAAAACAGGAAGCTTTGCAGTTTGGGGAGGACTGTTTTCCATGATTGATTGTAGTATGGTTCAAATAAGAGGCAAAGAAGATCCCTGGAATTCCATCACTAGCGGTGCCTTAACAGGAGCCATCCTGGCAGCAAGAAGTAAGTGAGCATTGCTTAATCTGGTACAGAATGAATATTCATGGTGATTTGAAAAGTCAGTAAGAGTTTCCAGGTGTGGTGGCATATGCCTTTAATCCCAGCGCTTGGAAGGCAGAGGCAGGCCGATCTCCATGAGTTGGAGGCCAGCCTGGTCTACAAAGACAGTTCCAGAACAGCCAGGGCTACACAGAGAAACCCTGTCTTGAAAAGCCAAAACAAAACAAAACAAAAAATCAGTAGGAGTAAAAAAAAGTATAGGATTGGGTTTTTTAATTTATTATTATTGCATTATTTATGTGTATGTGTGTGGGCACATGTGTCACATGAGGTCAGAGGACAGTTTGCCGGAGTTGATTCTTCTACCACTTCACTTGCATTCCAGGAATTGAATTTAGAGCCTATACCTAATGATTCCATCTCACCAGCCCCCTGCTTATTTGTTTGGTGACAGGGACTCATGTGATCCAGAATGACCTTGAATACCTTATCCTCTTGCCCTTGCTCCTCAAGTTCTGGGATGAATGTATGTGCCCCTTCTACTGGTTAAGAATGTTGGCCATTATTACCAGTTGTGTTGGCCATTATGTGACTGGTAGAATGCCAAACTCTTTGTGCTATGGTTTACTAAGTTCTCCTAAAGTAATAGTACCTGCCATACACAACTGTTAGGAATCAAGATCATCCTTTGGACCTTCAGGACAGAGTGCAAACCAGAATTCTTTGGCCATAGAGTAGAAGTTTCAAAGTGTTTCTTATAAAAGTTCAGGCATTAATAGTAAATTAATTTTCTTTATTACATTAATTTAGTGTGTATGGGTATGGGGGGGACTACTTGTGTAGTGGTTCTTTCCTTTTGTTTTAAGGGTCCCAGTATTGAACTTGGTGACAAGCACCTTTTCCTCCTGAGCCACCTGGCTAACCCAGAAATAAGTGTTTACACTTATGGACTATGTGATCTTGTTTGTTAGTTGTTTCTTTGGATTTGAGACAGGCTCTTACTTTTTTTTTTTTTTTTAACCTTAGTTTTCCTGGGACTTACTATGTAGCCCAGGCTGACCTCAAACTCATAGAGTTCTGTCTGCCTCTGGTTCTCAGTGCTGGGCTTAAAGGCATGTGCCACTCTGCCAGTGCACTATGTGAGCCGATGCTGTTAAGGCCTGCTTCAGTAATAAATAAGACACCATGACCAAGGCAATATATAGAAGAAAGTTTATTGGGCCTTACAGCTTCAGGGGGTTAGAGTGTTGAGGAACGCTGGTGGCCCTTCATCCATAAAAATAAAGACACCAAGACCTTCTAATACTTTCAAGCTTAGGCCTTAACCAGGCAGACTCTCAACTAGGCCATCTAATTTAACTACTAGCCCCATCCAGCCAGGTGGCTAGCTATACCTTCCATGCCTGAAGTAATATCTATCTCCTCTCATGTTTCCTGGTGGAAAAAAACTTCCTCTTTCTTCTTCCCAGAGTTCTTTTCTCCTTACCAGAAAAATCCTGCCTTCATATTCTCTCTGCCTAGCTACATGTTGTCAGTAACTTTTATTATCCACTCAGGGGTAATTGGGGCGCAATCCTCATATCACACAGGAGATGGTTCAACTTTCATGACAATGCCCGTGGCAGGGCGGTGGCCAGATGTCAGGGCACTGAAATCAGCATCTGAAAACAGTCCACAAAACCCTCACCAACATTTGGGTTCCCGTGGGTGGAGCAGAGGTAGCAGAAGGCTGGAGCCCCAGCTGAGAGCACACATCTCAGTCCACAGGTAGAGGAAGAGCGTACACTGAGGATGGCACAAGGCTTTTGAAATCTCAAAGCCCACCCACCTTCAGTGACACACCTCCAACAAGATCACACCACTTAATCCTTTCTAAAGGGTTCCACCACTTGGTAACACAGTATTCAAACACTTGAGCCTGTGGGGGCCATCTCATTCAAACTATCGCAGCTTTGTTTAAAAAAAACAGGCTGTGGGCTGGCGATGACCTCTCAGCCATTGTTTGCTGGCTGTTAGTCTTGGACAGTGAAAGAGTTTGAGAATAAGGGAAACATAAAACTATATGCCTTTCTTTTAAAGTAATCTTTGTTATTACTGTCTTCAGATGGACCAGTCGCCATGGTTGGGTCAGCTGCGATGGGTGGCATTCTCCTAGCTTTAATTGAAGGAGCTGGTATCTTGTTGACAAGATTTGCCTCTGCACAGTTTCCCACTGGTAAGTCCTCTTTCTCCTTAATGTTCTAAGTTCATACACGTTGGAATGGTTTCCTCATATTTAGAAAGAATGTATTTTGTTTGGTAAAATGGAGTTTGTGATTTTTACTTAAGGTATTAACGTATTATTGGAGCCTATGATAACTTCAAAAGCTAGTTTTAAAAGTAGATAGGTAGTGGCTTAGTAGTTACGAGTACCTATTTGCAGCTTTTGCAGTGGATCCAAGTTCTGTTCCAAGTACCCACTTTAGTCATTCACAAGTGCTAGTAACTCATCTTCAGTTCCAAGCAGATCTCATGATCTCTTCTGGCCTCCACAGGCACTACATATGTGGCACACATACAAGCAGGCATATGCATGCACACACACATATACATATATATATATAATTTTTTTTTTTTTTTTTAAGTGAAAGGTCTATAACTGTCATTTCTAGCCACAGCGACAAAATGCTTTGGGAACTTAACATTTTGGTGATTTAATGTGCTGTTTATCTTTCTTTGTAGACCCAAGGATTTATTAGTGTTCATTTACTTATGCTGAGAAATTTCTGGTCATTTGAAAGATATGTAGGTATATAGCAATGATTGGTAGCTGACAACTCCTTACTGTGTTTGTGCCAGGCAGAGTTATAGTTGCTGACAGTGGAGGAGTGAAGAAGACAGTCCTTGAGAGACCAAAGAATTAAAATTCATATTTTTGGGAAGATACTGGTTTAAAGATTAAAGCCTAAGCCTGAGCAAAGGCCAGCCAGGTGGAGACATGTCCAGACACCTGCAGGGAGGAACTAGCCTTACTGCATTCTTTTCCTGCCCACTAGAGATACAGTTGCTAGGAAACCGGTCCAGATGGCCAGGCCAGAACCATTTATGGTCTTGGTGCCTAAAGTAAACCAATCATTTAAAAAGTCAATTTCCCTTACCCAGTCATGTAACACCAAGGCATGTAACCCGCTGCTTGCAGTTTTGCCCTTTAAAAACCTTGTTCCCCTAGACCGCAGGGCCGCACTCCCCCTCTTCAACCAGGGAGGTTGCTGTGACTAGGGCTCAAGCTTATAATAAAAAGATCCTCATGTGTTTTGCAATGGACTTGACTTCTGGTGGTATTTTGGTGTCTCGAGATCTGGGTACAATATCCTTGACCTCGGGGACTTAAATTCTAGGGAGCTAAGATTGACAACCAAGCAGTGACATTGTCTTACCCAAATAATATAACTTTCTTTCAAGAATATAAAATAGGCTGGCCATGGTGGCACAAGCCTTTAATCTCAGTCCTCAGGAGGCAGAGATATTCGATGTCTTAAGATACAGGGCAGCCAGAGCTATACAGAGGAACCTTGCCCTAAAAAAGCCTAGACAGACAGACAGACAGACAGAGATTACAGGAAGTGGTGCAGCAGAGGCAGGAGGATCTCTGTGAGTTTGAGGCCATCCTGATCTACAGAGTAAGTTCCAGGACAGCCAAGGCTACACAAAGAAACCCTATCTCTAAAAAAAAAATAAAAAACAAACAAACAAACAAAAAATGGCTGATAGAAGGTGGCTTGAGTTTGGGGGATCACAGAATTACAGGAAAGAGAGAGGCAGAGCTGTGGACTTGCATGATCATTTGATAGTCATGGCTAGCTATCTGTTCATTAACTTGAAGGGTTTCTTCCCTAAACATCTCTGTACAAATGGAATATTCCCTAGATATTGAAAGGAAATAGATACCAAGATTCTGGTGCTAGAAACTTGAATTGGGGCTGGAGCAGTAGCTCAGTCATACTATTACTCAGCTTTACATGAGCTCAGTCCCCCAGGATTCATGCTTGCAAAAAAGCCAGGAGTGAGTGCTGACCCATGCTTGTAATCCCAACACTCTGGATCTCACTGTTAGGTTAACAAAGTTCTAGGCCAAACACACACATGCGCATACACTCGCGTGTGCCAGACTGGCCAGATCACTAACAGGGCACCCTACATTCCAGTCTTATGGAGGCATTTTCTCAATTGAGATTCCCTCCTTGATAGTTCAATGTTAACTTGGCACAGGCTAGAGTCATTGAAGAGATGGGGACCCCAGCTGAAAAAAAATGCTTTCACAAGATTGGGCTGTAGGAAAGCCTGTAGGCCATATTCTTAATTAGTGATTGATGTGGAGGGCCCAGCAAGTTGTGGGTGGAGTGATCCCTGGGCTGGTGGCCTTGGGTTCTATAAGAAAGCAGGGTGAGGGGGCTGGAGAGATGGCTCAGTAGTTAAGAGCACTGGCTGTTCTTCGAGAGGTCCTGAGTTCAGTCCTAGCAACTATTTGGTGGCTCACAACCATCTGTAATGGAATCCCATTCCCTCTTTTGGTGTGCATGAAAACAGAGCACTCATATATAAATATATAATTTTTTTTTTTTTTTTTTTTAAAAAAAAAGGAAAGAAAGAAAGCAGGCTGAGCAAACCATGAGGAGCAAGCCAAGAGGCAGCACCCCTCATGGCCTCTGCATCAGCACCTGCCTCCAGGTTCCTGTCCTGTTTGAGTTTCTGTTCTGACTTAGATGGTGAACAGTTATGTGGAAGTGTAAGCCAAATAAACCCTTTCCTCCCCCAAGTGTCTTTTGTGTTTTCTCATGGCAATAGAGCCCCTAATTGGGACACCTTCTTTCAGATGACTCTAGCTTGTGTCAAGTGACATAAAATTAGCCAGGACACCTACATAGCAAATTTTAAGGTTAGCCTGGGCTACATGAAAGTTAGTCTCAATAAAAGATTTTTGTTGTTGTCTGAGGCTCTCTTGGAAATAAAACTGTAAATTTTGTACTATAACTGTCTGTGGGACAGCTTCCCTTTCAGAGCTTGTTTCATGGTTTTGTTCTTTGTTTTTTGAGACTGTTCTCACATTGGTTATTTAAACTGGATTAGTGGGTTCTTTTAAGTACAAGTAAGGGAATTGTAGCTTAATGGTAAAGTACTTGCATAGCTTTGCAGAGGCCCTGCTTTTTACCCTTTGTATAGCCACAACAATAAAGACATAGATAAGACCATTCTAAGTTTTATGAACATAGTTTTAAATGGGCGTAAAATATGTGTCAAGAGGGGCTGAAGAGATTACTCTTGGTTCAGAGTACTCGCTGCTCTTGAGAGGACCCAAGATCAGTTTCTAGCATTCACATTTAGTGGTTCACATCCTCTTAACTCCAGCCCCCGGGGATCCAGCACCCTCTTCTGGCTTCCCTGCGATCTGCATGCACCCACAGACACATGCAGATAAAAATGTTAAACCTTTAAAAAATGTGTCCAGAGGAGCTGGAGAGTTCTTTACTGCATTGCAGAAGACCAAGATTCAATTCTTAGTACTAACGCAGCTCACGGCTGTGTGCAGCTCCTACCTTTCGGGCTTCTGCAGGCACCTGCGCACTGGTAAGCACACATACATGTGCACACATGCTCATAAAATAAAATAAAATGTTAGGGCTACAGAGATGGCTCAGCAGTTAAGAGCACTGGCTGTACTTCCAAAGGACCCAGGTTCATTTCCCAGTACCCACCTAGACGCTCGTAACTGTGACTCCAGTTCCAGAGGTTCTTACATAGACACATGCAGGCAAAACATCAATACGCAGAAAAATAAATAAATCTGGAAAAAAATAACTTTAAAAGTTTGCTAAGAAACAGTAGAACTTTGTTTTGCTTTTGTTTTCCAGTCTGGATCCAGGGAAACTTACTGTAGCAGTTCACCATGTCTAGGCTGAGGGTGAGCCCAGTTGGTAGAGTATTTGGGTAGCATGCACAAAGCCCTGGGTTCACTCTTCAGCAAGAAATAAACTGGGATGGTGCACATACCTGTAACCCTAGTACTTGGGATGTGGAGGAAGGAGGATCAGGAGTTCAAGGTCATCCCTGTCTACATAGCAAGTTCAAGGCCAGCTTGATGATCTAAGACAGATTGTGTCTCAAACAAGACAACAAAAATCCTACTTTTTCTGTAATGGATCCATTTGGCTTTCCTGCTGTCCATTCTGGAACACCTGGGATTACAGTCTGTCCTATGATAAATCTGAAGGGTCTCCAGGCCTTTGGTGGGAAATGGACAGGTCCTTATGAAGAAATTAAAATTACAGCTGTAGTATAGCAGAAACTTTTAAGTTGATTTCATTTCTTTTCTACACAGAATTCTTTTTTAAAAAATCCCTTTTCCATCTTAATTGCAGGCCCTCAGTTTGTTGAAGACCCCTCCCAGTTGCCTTCAAGCCAGCTACCACCCTCACCCTTCGGAAACTACCAACAGTATCAGTAGGACTTCTTTCCCAGGGTCCTGTACCTGGGTGGACTGTAGTTCAGTGGGTTCAGAAGATTAAGTTACAGTCTGTTGAAAGCCTTAGGTGGAGCGATGCTGCCCGAGCAGCCATGAAGAGACAATTAGCACATTTTTCTATTTAAGAGAAAAGATACTGAGTTTATTTATTCATGCTTGGATTACATTTGTGATAAAAATAAATGTCTAATACCATCTAAAGAATGTATATGTGCTTGGAAGATACAGGACCAAAGGCCAAATAACAGTGGAACACGACCATCATTTCCTTCGGGACTTCTCTGACTGGTGTTTTGTGTACAATTATTCAGACAATAAAAGGCTTCTGGGACTTAACATTTCCTTTTAAAGTTATAGTTTCATGCTGAGCATACTTCAGACAATGCATGTTTATGCCAACCCCTCGTTGTACTTGAATTATGTATCCAAAGTATTATGTAATCCTCATGAATCATTTCACAGGAAAGGATTTTAAGGATTGAAAGATTTGCCGAATCCTTTGCTTTGAAAGCAAAGTGCTGTCTTAGTTTAGCAGATGCCGGATAGCCAGACATAGTTCACACCTTTAATTCCAGAGTCAGAGGCAGGTAGCTCTCTGTGAGTTCCAGGCCAGCCTGGACCACATGGAGAAACCATATCTCAAAAAGAAGAGATGATATTGGATTTAAAACTCTATTAGAGCTGCCATTTTTTGACTCCTGGTCATCAGAACAACATGTTTCTAATGTAACTAGTTCTGTATGACAATAATTCTTAAAAGAGTTTGAGGTGTGGGTGTGTTGTGTTTTTGAAAATAAAGAAGTTAGGCATGATGGCTCACACCTATAATCTCATCACTTGGAAGGCTGAGGCAGAACAGTCCAACTTCAAGGCCAAACTTGACAGCAGTCTCAAAAAATCAAAGAAAAAGAAGAAACTATTCTGTTTTAATTGTTTGAGTCCCCTGAAGCTGGTTTTAAAGCACACTGTGGGGTCATGTGGGGCTAGAAGTTACTGAACAAAGTGGGTCCCTGCTGTGTTGGGGTGGCATGGCCTTGAGAAACCAAGTTGTGCCTTTCGGGTCAGGGTGGTACGCATAGTCAATGCTTAATTACTAGTTAGACTTTGATTATTTGAGGTTTCTTTTTTTTTTTTTAAATTGTGGCAGTATCATTGTAGACATTTGTGCGTATGTTTTGGTGGCTTGGAAATACAAGCACATTTAACCCTCAGCGTTCTGTATGCTCTGAGCCCGATGGAAGGCAGAGGCAGGAGGATGGTGAGTTTAGTGCCAGCCTGTCTCAAAACAAAGTAAGTTAGCATCACTAACATAAACTCTATATGCATTCAGCAGTAGCTTCCCTTTATCCTCCCCTCAGCTCCTGGTAATCCACTGTCTGAATTTGCCTATTCAAGTTATCTCATGTGCATGAAATCATACTGATTCATTCTGTACCTGTCTTTATTTAGTAGAATGTTTGCAGGTCCATTCATCCTGGAAATTCCTTAATTTTGTCCCTGAATGTTTCCTTGTGTGCATGTACTAACTGTTATTTATTCCTCTATTGATAATAACAAGCTGTTTCCAACTTCTAGCTATGGTAAGTTCTACCCTGGAGTGTAATTATCTATTTGAATCCCTACTTTGAATTCTCTTGGATATTTACCTAAGAGTAAATTGCCAAGTCACATGATAGTTCTATCTTTAACTCTGAGGAACTACCAAATTGTTTCCCACAAGGGCTGCGCCATTTTACTATTTCCAGGAACAATGCAAGAGGGTTCTCTTTCTCTACATCTTTATCATCCTTGTTATCTTCCTCGCCCCCTTGCTAGGGGTGAAACCCAGGCCCTGCTGTCTTGCAGGCAAGTGTATAATGACTGAACAGTAACCTCAGCCCCTCTCCCTTAAAGAGAATGTCTAGGCCTTCTGACATGGGAGGTGATTTGTCATTTTTTTGATGCTAGGTTTGTTTTGGTTTTTGTTTGTTTGTTTTGAGGCTGTCTAGTTATTGTGGCTTTGATTTGTATTTCCCTAAAACTTTAATGAAATGGAATTTAAGACTAATCTATTAAGTGTGCAGTGAAATGTGTATCAGGAAAGCGTTTAGGTAGCACATTGAGTTGTAGAGAGAATGCTACAATTTGTTTACTTAGTTAGGGGAGCTAATTAATAACCCTTTGACATGGCATGTCAGTAAATTCCATATGTAATGCTGATACGGTTTTGCCATTTTAATGGGTAGCTCTATGGTATTCAATCTAGCTTACCTGAATTATTTTTGTTTTGAGATGTCTTGCTATATAATCTGGGCTGTCCTTGAGTTTGTGAGCCTTCTGACTTCCTGAGTTCTGAGATTAGGAACATATCCCACCATAGCCACTAAGCTTCCTTCCTTCCTTCCTTCCTTCCTTCCTTCCTTCCTTCCTTCCTTCCTTCCTTCCCTCCCTCCCTCCCTCCCTCCCTCCCTCCCTCCCTCCCTCCCTCCCTCCTTCCTTCCTTCCTTCCTTCCTTCCTTCCTTCCTTCCTTCCTTCCTTCCTCTCTTTCTTTCTTTCTCTCTCTCTCTCTCTCTCTTTCTCTTTTTTTGGCACTGGGGCAGGGTTGGGGGAGGCCAGATGGTTTAACAGGGGAAAGTGCTAGCCATGCAAATCTTGCAATCCTAGTTTGATCCTGAAACATAGTCAGAACAAGAGAATCATCCAGTTGCTCTCAGACCAGCTTGCCTGGAATGTGAAGTATGATAAAGAAACAAGTGCCATCTCAGCAAGGCAGAAGGCAAGAACCAACTCTGCAAGGTCACTCCTGGCCTTCATACTTGTAGCTGTACTCATCTATACATACACTAAATAAATATTTTAAAAATACATCCTGTAAAGCAAAACAAGTGGAGAGCAATAGAAGCCCCCAGATGGCCACCTCTGGCATCTGCACAGTTAAGCACAAATACAGAGACACATAAACAAAAAAATAAAGGTAAACTTGTTTTCAGTCTGCTGAGTCTGTCCATCATATGGGTCTACAGATGGAGCACACTGTTTCCGTGGTAACTGTTAGAACACAGCCTTACCCGTGGCCATGACTGTTTTCTTACTGTCATCACAGATCAGCAGTTCTGGCCCATGACTAGCACAGGAAGGAGTTGTAGGATTAATATCAGCTCGTGTTGAAATTGAATTTCTTGACATAGAAGCCATTTTGCAGTGGAGGATATGCAGTTCTCTTGCCTCCGTCTCACAGTTGCTGAGACCTTAGGTGTGAGCCACCATGCTTGGTAGAAACTACATTTTCTAACAGATACTTGAAAAATACTGAGTAAACAAAGGATAGACAGATCTGTCACTATGGAGTTAAAAGGTCCAAAGCTGGGCTGGAGAGATGCCTCAGTGATTAAGAGCACTGTCAGCTCTTGCAGGGGTCCTGAGTTTAATTCCCAGCACCCAGCAACCACGTGGTGGCTCACAACCATCTATAATCTCTTCTGTCATGCAGGCATACATGCAAATGTATGTGTTCATATGTATATGTATGTGTTCATATGTATAAATAAATCTTTTTAAAGTCATTTTTTTAAAAATCTGAAGTTTTTAGAAGATATACATTTGGGTTGACAATGTAATATATAAACTCCACATCATAGAAAAAATTAAATATTCTGAACTGGATGAGACAGGTCAGCAGCTAAGAGCATTTTGCCTCTAAGCTTGAGGACCAGAATTTGGTCCCTGGAACACACATAGTAAAAGGAAGGACCAATTTCCACAGCTTGTCTTCTGACCTCCACACATGTTCTACACACATACGACAAATAATAAAATATCCGCAGTACAATTGAATTTCTTATGCTTGTTTTTTTTTTAATATTAATTACAGTTTATTCACTTTGTATCCCAGCTGTAGCCCTCTCCCTCATTCCCTCCCAGTCCTACCCTCCCTCCCTCATCTCCTCCCATGCCCCTCTCCAAGTTCTTGAATAGGGGAGGTCCTCTTCCCCATCCATCTGACCCTAGCCCATCAGGTCTCATCAGGACTGGCTGCATTGTCCTTCTCTGTGGCCTGGCAAAGCTGCTCCCCCTCAGGGGGAGGTGATTAGAGAGCAGCCACTGAGTTCATGTCACAGACAACTCCTGTTCCCCTTACTAGGGAACCCACTTGGATACTGAGCTGCCATGGGCTACATCTGTGCAAGGGGTCTAGGTTATCTCCATTCATGGTCCTTGGTTGAAGTACCAGTCTCAGAAAAGACCCCTGGGCCTAGGTTAACAATCTGTAAAGGTTAACAATCGCTAGGTGGTAGTGATGCACACCTTAATGCCAGCTCTTGGGAGGCAGAGGAAGGCAGATCTCAGATCTCTGTGATCTACAGAATGAGTTCCAGGACAGCCAGGGCTACACGGAGAAATCCTGTCTTGAGAAACAAAACAAAGAAAACAAAACAAAAACAAAAAGTTATCCTGAAGTTGGTGTTTATCATTCACATGGGTTTCTGTTTTTGTTAATAGTTGTACTGCCTAGTTTTTTGTCAACCTGACATACACTAGGGTCACCAGGGAGGAAGGAGCCTCAATTGAGAAAATGCCTCTATAAGATCAGCTCTAGAAAAGCTTGTTGGACTGTTTGGTTTTTTGAGACAGTATTTCTCTGAGTAGGCCCCTGGCCATCCTGGACTCACTTTGTAGACCAGGCTGGCCTTGAACCAACAGTGATTCGTCTGCTCCTGCTTCTGCCTCCTCAGTGCTGGGATTAAAGACATACACTACCACACCCAGCTTGTTTGTTTGCTTTTGTTTTTGTTTGTTTGAGACAGGGTTTGCTATCCTTGGTGTTCTTTGTAGATCAGGCTGGCCTCGAACTCAGAGATCCACCTGCCTCTGCCTCCCTGAGTGCTGGAATTACAGGCATGAGCTACTGTGTCCGGCTCTTTTGGACACTCTCTTAATTAGTGATTTATTGGGGAGGGCCTAACCCATCATCCCTATGTTCTGTAAGAAAGCAGGCTGAGTAAGTAATGATGAGCAAGCCAGTAAGCAACACTCCTCTATGGCTCCTGCCTCCAGGGTCCTGTCCTGTTTGAGTTCCTGTCCTGACTTCCCTCAATGATGTGGAAGCATAGGCTGAGTTCCTGTCCTGACTTCCCTCAATGATGTGGAAGCATAGGCTGAATAAACCTGTTCCTTCCCAAACTGCTTCGGTCTTGATGTTTTATCATAGCAATAGTAACTCCAAGACAAGTTGATGCTAGGATGGTAGAGTATTATGACAGACCTGACTATGTTGCTTTTCAGAGGCTTGTGGAAGGACTTTGGAATTTAGTGCAAGAAAAGCCATTCATTGATGAACTTGGAATGTTGAGGGCAA